CAAAACTTCTGGCAACATCCCATCTATAAAACAGAACTGTTGCAAATCAGTGTCCTGAACATTAAACCTGTATAATTTTGTGTTGAGATAAAATTATACTACTAACAGGCAAAGTTTTTATTTCCATGCAAGAGCTATTAATGCTGACAGCTGTGCAAATTAACAGCAACAGTCACAGCAACTGCTGCACGTTGGAGTCTCATGGAGCATGTACATAAGAAGCTGTGTCGCTGTGGCCAACAAGAGCACCTGAAACGCACAAAGTGACCGAGCCCCTCAGCTGGAGACGCTCTGAGCGGGCACGGGAGCAGGGGGACGATCTGCTCCCTTAGAAGGTTGTGGCTTTCCTAAATCCCAGGATTTTGGCTGCAGTGGACACTGCTGGTACACCACCTGCACATGGTCACCAAAACAGAGTCCACCTGCAAAGCAAGACTCCAAGAGGCACAGTTAGGGCTCTGGAGACCTTGCACCTTTAGGCATCACAATTTTTTTTATTTCCCCAAGTTTTTCTGTGGTTCCATGTATCAAGCTCCCAACAGCAAAACCTCACTTCCACATTTGTTTTCTAAATGTTACTTAAAGTCTGCCCAAGTTTCACTCTAAAATTGATTCTTTGCCTTTTAGAAATGTTCATATGCTAAGTAAAGTCTTAAGAGTAAACAAGTCATTTTCCAAGTTTAAAAGAAAATACAAAGTATCTTTTTTTTTTTTAAAAAAAGCTATTATCTGTCTCAGTACTTATAAAAGAGCTATTATTATCTGTCTCAGTACTTATAAATGTTCCCATTGCCACAAGATGAGCAGCCCATATGCACTGAAGACCCTGTAAATACACGTAAGACAAAATGATAAACTGTTATCTTCCATTTAGAGGCAAAGGTCAGAGATGGACAGAAAAAGTGAATTTGTCCGAGAAAACTGAGAAGTTTAGGGCAAATGAAGGATTTAAAATCTAGTCTTCCAAATAGTGCTTTAAATAGCAGCTCATCCTTCCTTTCTGATGTACCTGGAATGCAACTGCCTGGAGCTCTCGTGCTCCTATTGACCATTTCAGAATTGTAACAAATGGTGAACTTGCAACCAACTCTCTTCCTCTTCTATTTTGATCAAGGTGCACTGACAGATAAAGTCGAAAGGAGTTCAGAGTTAAAAGAAAACTCGAAAGACTTCATGTGAGTGATCTGTAGTCAGGTACGACTCCATGCAATTACCCAGTAATGTGACCAAGCAGGGAAGACAGACCCAAGGCTGCAGCTGTCCAGGTCACAAGAACCAACCTAGAAAGGAGAGTTCCTGCAGAGCCTGGTTTTAATCTCCTGGGTTCAAGCACTGCTCACAGTTGCTTCTGGGGATCACCTTGCCTCTTAGGTAAAGTATTCCTGTCTTGAATGACAATAACATAAATGTAATTAATTGTTTGTTTAGCCTCTCATGGCCTTATTTTTAGGTGGATAATGTCTCTTAAAAACACTGTGAAAGAATCACACAGAATCACAGAATGGTTAAGGTTGGAAGGGACCTCTAGAGATCATCTAGTCCAACCCCCCTGCTCCAGCAGGGACACCTAGAGCACATGGAAGCTCTGATATACTATAGCCTTTTAACCACAAAAACTTCTAAGCAACAAGTTTGATGATTCAAAGCAATTTAAATCACACATGTTCTCTCTATATTTAGGTGAGTATTCACTATAAATCTTCCCTCAGTTATTATTATGTAAAATACCTGTATTATAAACTGTGGAGAATTACATTTGCAAGCCTGCTTCTAAATTCATTTACCCTAAAGAAATTACTTCATCCATCTGTAAGTCCAGCAAATTAAATTCCCGTAGGCACTTAGCTCTCTGGAAGGAGTAGGTTGTTTTGCTTCAGGTGAGAAGCTTGACAAAACCTAAAACAGTATTGCAATAATACAGCATGCTCTGGGCACTTACTACTATTCTTCTAACATGCTCACTATGCAACATTTAATGTTCATTAGTAATAATATTTATTCTGGAGTGAGGCATAGTGGTGTTACAACAAGCACTCAATTTCATATACGCCAGAACAACTATTAGATTTGCAAAAAAACTAACGCATTGACATAGAGAATAGATCAAGAGTGTTTATTGCACTGAAGTACCTTTTATGAGTATTCATATATTAATTTGAATAGGCTTCATATACCAAAACTAAACACCAGAGTGCCAAAGAACAGGGACTCATGTCCACTCTCCCTGGACATCTTTTAAAGTATATCCTCATTTGTTCTGAAACATGTGGGTGTGAAGCTCAGCAGGGAACTCTGATCCTCTGTGGCACCGAGCACTGATTATATATTAAGAGGTGTGATTCAGAACACAGGGTGCAAGGCAGCTGCTTGATTGCAGAGAATGGCTTTCAAAACAATGCAGCATTCATACGTTCAGCAAGTTTTTACACATGCATCACTCAGATTCCACATAATAAAATCTTTTTTCGCAGTTCAGCTCACATCCTCACTTCCCCTCCAAACACAGGGCGATGAGGATATGGTTACCATGTCTGTGAGCAGCTGAAGGCGCGAGGGTTTAAGGAACCCAGGTTGCCTGGGTTGCACATCCAAGTGCTCTTCCCGCCTGTGGATTAGCTCGATCCATGTCGGACACTGCCTGGAAGCATCTAGAGTGTCACAAACGAAATGTTGCTCCTGTAAATACTGGGGCCTCTTGCCAATGTTCAGAGGATGTTTGCCCATTATTTCTGCACAGTTGGTTTCATTAACATACTCATTATTCACACATTAATGCCTTATTAATGCTTTCCAATGTTCAAATACTTCGGGGACACTTCAGAACACAGAGTCTTTGCCAACTATTTGGTTTGATGAGGCCGGGAGGTAGCAGCTTTGGTCATTACACATACGTACCTGTTGCCCAAATCCTTCTGCACGGTTCGTATTGCCTAACTAAACAGCAAACAGACACGACGTGAGCCCATCGCCGCCCTGCACATGGATACCAGACATCCATACGAGGGCAGGAAGGCCCCGCTTGGCAAGTCAACAGAGCCACTTCCTCCGAATTTCAAGGGAACAAAAAGCTATTTGCTCAAAAGCTTGTCAAAAGTGTGAACCCAAGGGGTGTGAGGACAAACAAATCAAAGAGACATTCAGAATAAACACCGTGTTCATGGAAATGGTCTGTATTTTTGACCTATTTTACCCATCACAGACTGGTATATGATGCAGGAGAGCAGCTATTCCTTCAGGAAAGGAAAAAAAACAAAACAAAACACACACACACACAAAAACATTGCTTCTGAGTCATGAATTAGGAATGGAAAAACGTAAATTGATAAGCAAAGGAATTTGCATCTTGGCAGTAAGGATTTTCCAAGAGGAAATTAGAATTACTAAAAAACAAAAGAAAACAAATAGAAGAAACCACTATATCAAAATGACCTTGATCTTATGAGAGACACAAAAGAGAAACAAAAGAAAGCAGTAAGAGCAAGAAGAGAATGGGAAGAGAAGGATGCTTTTATGCAATGCAGAGCACGAGATTAAAAACAATCCTATAGTAACAGGTATAGGGAAGAGGTGACTTCACTCTGTCCAAAAACAAGGCTCAGGTTCTGAGAACAGGCTCAGAGCCCTGCGGACCAGCTAGGAACTGAATCCCAGATCCAGAAAGAGAAAGCAAAAAGTAACAGGACCCGGTGAGTCCCCGGGTCGGGAAGGGGATCCTGCCCCTCTGCTCAGCCCTGCTGAGGCTGCACCCGGAGCACTGGGTGCAGTTCTGGGCTCCCCAGCGCAAGAGGGACGTGGAGCTACTGGAGCAAGTCTAGCAGCTGACGGAGATGAGTAAGGGACTGGGGCATCTCTCTTAGGAAAGGCTGAGAGAGCCAGCAAGAAGAAAACAAATGGCTAAAACCAAACAAAACTACCCAAACCCCCATTTGCCTGCAAACAAAATACTCTTTTTGCCTTTCTCGGTGACAAACGCAACAGCAAAAGCCAGGCAAGCTACAACCTAACTGTGGTACCACCTAACTGGTTTCTAAGGGAAGCCAGGACACAGGAAGCCTGTTAACAAAATCATTCCGGTTGTCTCCTGATCAACAGATGAGCAGAAGACTCAAAGCAGAGACTGAAGCCAAGGCCACTCCAGGGCAGCCATGCACAGCCCTGATGTGAGTAAGGAGCACACATTTAAACTGTGAACCGAGGAGAGTGAACCGATTCTCGTATTTGCAACGCAAATGAGCGCTGGGTAAAATAGGGATGCTTTTATTACACGTTTCTGAAAGCACAGGATTTCATTATGAGTTCAACAAAAAGTTTAATTTGACCTGAAATTAAATTTTCTGGGCTATCATTTTAAACAGGAAAATTGATTACTTTGGAAGTTTAATCTGAAAGACTCTTTTCCGTTCAATTCAAGCTTAAAAAGAAAATTCAATTACGGTGGCAAATACTCTTTAATATATATTTTTGTTTAGCTAGGTAGCTGTATTTTTGGTCAGTCAGCTTCAAGAAAAAACTAACACGCCCACTCTTTTTGAAAAGTGTTATAGCTGAAGGGTTACAACTGAGTCCAGATTTCAATATTTTTTTATATCTTTATAAGAAATGCTTGATTCTGTTTAAAAAACTACAGCATAAAATGATCTTAAGCATTTTTTTAAAAAATTAATTCTCAGAATACCTGATTAAGCGATATTCCTGCTTCCAGAGACTAAAAAGGATCTTCCACCATCCCAAGTTCATTACTTCCACGAAAGAGCGATATGATAGAAAAATGTAAACTACGGCACAATCTTCCTTTCCCATAAACAACTCTGGTTTCCTTCCAAAACCTCTATAATTTTCGTTTTACAAAATTCTGCTCTCGGACATTCTCTCTCTATCCCAGGGAGGTCGGATAATGGACACTGCCACAAGTAGCAAGAAGAAACTATACAGCTGGTGTGGAAAGCTCACACTGAACGAGCACATGATTAATAAAAGAAGAGGTAACGAGTCACCAGTACCTGATACACCTTCATGATGCTGACAGTTCCTTCTCCATTGGGGCCCGAGGATCCTTGGTGCTGTAGGAGGTTTCTCACTGTCTCCTCCATTCTAGAGAGGGAAAATATTAGAAAAGTCAACTGTGTGGAATTGTTTCTGGAAGACTTGCATTCAGTGTTTTTGTTCTTTCCAAGAGCCTAATGCAACATTTTACTGGCTACCATGAAATTAATATTCAAAGGAAATCCTGGCCTTGTGATATTCTCATACTTCGTGTTATGAATAACACATTAAGGGCACTCTTTTATCTTCTGAATACGCACAGTAATTAGGTGTAATTGTTAAAATCCCACCATAGTTCCATTACAAACATTAAAAAGAAGTGCCAGCAAAAACCAGCACCTTGTCAACGCTGTAACCAAACAGCATGAGAAAATTACTGTCATTTAGGAACAAAACCAATCTGATTTCCCCAAAAAACGCTCTATTTATAGTCAATTATCAGTCCTGTGCAATTTGGGCGGACTGTCACGCACACGGTGTGTGTTTGCTCTCTGGTGGAGGTGCCGTGGCACGTGCCAGGTCAGTTGCTCACGAAGACAGAGCTGCCAAGCACGTTCACCCTCGCTTTGCCCTCTCCAGAGGATGGCAAAAACAAGCGTAGACCAAAGCCCGGCACCAGCAGCTCAGGGAAATCACCAGCATTCATCAGCCACGCTAAAATGGGCAGTAGCACCAGCCCTTCCAAGCAGGGGTGATGCCAAATGAGTGGCTGTGCCATAGGATGGACAACAGGGGCCACCAGGAGGAACGTGGGCCCCATTCGGCTCCACAGGAAGGTAGAGGGCACAGGGAGACGTCGTTGAGATCGACTTCAAATGAACGGTCCGAGGTTTCAGCCGCGCAAACACAGTTAGGAGGAAGGCCAGGAGCAGGACCCGGGCAGCAACGTGGGCCGAGGCAGCAGGTGGCTGCGCGCGGGCTCCAGCACAGCTCCCCTGGCTGCCCCGCAGCCCCAGGCCTCGCCGCTGCCTCACCCTCTGCAGCTGCTCCTCGGCACCCTCCTGTGAGCGCACGAGTCCCACCGACCTGCCCCGCCACTGAAAGGCCCCACCTCCACTTAACTCCCATTCTTTAATTTCAGGCTCTCTCAACTACTTCACACCGAACAGCCCAGCTGGAGCAAGCGACGGAGAGGGGGAGAACGCCAGGGCACGGGAGCGGGATGGATGCCTCACGGCGGTGCTGCCTGACACGCTGCGTGAGCCCTGCGGCCGGCCCACGAGGGAAATCCCACGGGACAGCTCTCCAGGCCCTGCCTCCCTGCTCTGCTCTGCCTGGGGAAACACGGCCTTCAGCCGTGGATGCAAATGGATTTGAGCAGAAGGACGATTCATATCATGCCAAAGCTTTTTATTTCTGAGGCAACAGGCCAGTAAAACAGTAAATATTAGCTAGTTAATATTACCTACTTAAAGAACAACCGTATTTGGTTTTATTCAAGTTACAAAAGCCTCGTGGTCTTTCTGCTCTTTCGATCTTATCAGAATGCAGGGCAGTGGCTCACCTAGAAAAAATACAATGTTTTACTAGGACTTCTCTTTTCAAGTCAGCCAGCTACACTTCTTTTCAAGAAGCTGACATTATGAAGCATTCATTTTATTCAGACGCGCAGTGACATTTTACTTATTCATATTATTTTTTTGTCATTGATGTGCAGACTTCTACACTGCCAGAATGCTCACAGAATAGTTGGACCATCTGTTGACCAAATGTGAATAAAAATAAGCCAAGACTAATCTCTAGTGCAGACAATGGTGCACAGTTTTTCAGTTGCAGATTGAAACCATTTCTGCTCATGGCTGACCTTAATCAGGTCCTTTTTTACATAAAAGAACAAATCATTTTGGTTCATGATATAAATTCCTCTACAGTTCTCACTGAAGGATTTCTTGTCATAATATGTTCATCATTTATTTTTTTAAAAGTTGATAATGTAATAGGGTTCTTGTTTTAAAGCAATATGCTTTATACATGCATACACAATTCTAATTCTGGTCCTCCATGAAGTTCTTCCACAGGAATAAACAAGCAAAAATTAGAGAAAGGATAGATTTAACTTCTGCTGAAATCAATGGGAGTTTTTCAGTTTAGGCCTAATGAACATATAGTCTAGTTGCATATTAAAATCATCAGTCTAAATACTTATGAGTAACTACAAAGAATTCTTAAATTCAATAGGTCATTTTATCCTGAGTCAAGGAATAACTAGTTTGTCCATTCCCAACAGTATTCCTGTTAACTGGCCTATCCTATCTAACAACTTTATAGGGACTGACCTGTCTCATGAAGCAATTAGAAACACCTTCTAGGAACACTCGTATTTCCATTAACAGTGATATCTGCACCATGACAAAGAGCTGTTAAACACTGTAGAGGCTTTTGTTGTTTCTCTTGTAGCTATTACGAAAATTTGTAAGAGGCTGATGGTCATAAAGCTAAACCACTAGGCATAACTGTCTGCACCACTGAAAGGATCTTAGAAACTTTAAGCGTCCATGGAATATCCAAATGAGGAAGGAGAAAATGAGTTTCTGTCAAACAAGTAGGTGAATATGATTATACTCAAATGTATTGCCAAGCTTTGGCTATTGTTACATTATGATCAATAATACTCTGCACAGTGAGTGTAGAAGGCAGTAAGATTTAGTGCAAGTTCTTTTAAAAAACAGAAGAACAACTGAGCCCCTATAAATTTAACTTGAACGAGCATGTTTGCTTCCTAGACTAGGCCTCCAGAGGACATGTAGCTTTTGGAAGTGAAGCAGAAAAATTAAAAGCTCTGTGAAAGGCTGTTCCTACACATCAGCTATATATTTCTCACTTCTAAACCATTAAAGGTTATCTTCTCTTGGTTATGATTCTAATACCCAGATGGACCCAGTCCAACATCAACCACATGCTGATTATATCTATAATAACTATGCCCCACGCGTGTGGTCTGTCTGCTTTCCAGCCTATGCAGAAATGCTCTTCTTGCCAAAGATTCAAGGCATCTTATGTAACTATCAAGATGTTACATTCTGCAAAAACAGTTCCTAGTGTCTCACCGTTCCCAAACTTACATTTTTAATTGCTATTTAGGAACATTTATTTTCCCCTTTGTCTAGTGTTCTGTTTACTGTCTATGTATCTCTGTTATTACCCCTAAAATTTTGTTACATCTAATATTTGGACAGAAAACAAAAGTTTTCTGAAAACTGCAGTTGCTTTCAATTAAAAATAAAGTCCCCTTCAAGGAAAGAAGGCAAAACCCACGTTTAGGAGAAGCTTCGTAAGTTTCTTGACAAACTGTCAATTTAGAGTAGGAAGACGGCTCTCCACCAGCCCTAACCTAAGGATAGATTTCTCAAAGCACTAGATGGAAGAAGAAATGAGGCACTCTGAGACCAGAATCCATTTGAGGAGTATAAGAATTTAAGGAAGGTAAAATATTAATGCTGCTGTGGAAGGCACTGTCGAGATTTCATCTGGAATAAGATCTGCCATTGCGATCGCCAAGGCTCCTTCGCAGAGGGTCAGTGGAGAGGCAGCTCTGAGGCTGCTCAGAAGCACCAAGTCTGTGTCATGAGAGAAGACCAAGCACCTTGTCTCCCTAGGAGGACAGAGGCTTACACAGCTATGACCTCTGCAAGCAAATCAGGGAAGAAAAGAATATTAAATACGTTTAAGGGCAATCAGGGATAAAGAATAAAATGTGAACGTAGTGGCTATAAATAAATCCAGGCTGGAATTAGGATGTTTTTAACCACTGAAAAAGTGAGCCTACATGCAGAGTAATGAGATGAGAACACTTAAGAAGTTGAGCAGTTTATGAAATCAGGTGCTTAACAGGGTTAACAGCAGAGGACTGGGGCTGATGATCGAGGTGAACACTTGCTACTCCTCCTGAAACATGACCAGTCATTCCTAGGTTTTAATGACACAGTTTGTTCAGTGCTATTAAAAGAGTACCAGGGTTTCTCAGAGTGAGGGGAGCTGGTGTCCTGTGTGGAAAGGAGGAGATGGTGCCAGCGTCCCTTGCCTGGGCACCTAGGCCTGGAAGCCTCCAGGGTGGCACAGAAACCTCCATGATGTGTTTTGCATCAACTCAGAAAACGGTCTAAAAACCTGTCTACTTTGTGCCTCTCCCAGTCCTGTCATTTCAAATGGACCAAAGATTTTGGCAACTCTGTTGGAGCCCTCTCTAAGGGCTCTAACATGATTTTAAGACCATACATTAATTTGAGGGCATTAATGTGCCCTCAAATACAAGGATGCTCAAGTGTTTTCTCAGCCCTCCAGCCCTGTAAGAGCCTTTCCTGTATATTTCCACTTTCCCCAAAAGGCTGTCCAGTTCCCTTTTTTGTCATATTTGTTGTTCTGGTCTCCTTGAGAAGCGTCTCTCATAGTCTGCCTCTGTAATTTCACATACTGAGGGCTTTTTCTCCATCAACCTCTCCACCGCGTATGATAAGGTCTTTGCGTCCTGCCACACTGCAGAGGAAACCCCCTCTTTTCCCCAGTTCTCTGTAGCACGTCTCTTAAAGCGATTTGATCTCTCCAGACCTAAAACTTGACATAAAGCAGCCTTTCTGTGGAAAGGAGCCAAAGCTAGCACAAAGACACTATATTCTCAATAGCCCTCATCTTACCCAGCTGCTTCCCATACCGCCCTTAACACAACTGTCCCCGCAAGGGACAGGCAGCATGTGGCTGCTGCAGCTCTCCAAGGTGCGTGGCAGCTTCAACCCCGTCTCCCTTGACCTCTTTCCTGCAGGATTTCCCCAGGCTGGCAGCCACCTTTTGCTGGGTGCTTTCCCCTTCCTCTTGCATCAGCCTCAAGCTGATGCGACTGTACTCTGTGGTTATTTCAAATGCACCTCACAGGAATTCTTGCAATCTAGTACAAACCTCACTGCCTTCCAGGGACACGTTCCAGGGGACTCCCAGCCCTTTCAGGTTCTTCTCTGAAGCCCCAGGGCAGTCAGGGAGCTCGGGGACAGCAGGCACTGCTGTTGTCTCCCGGGGGCTCTGGTGGCAGATGCCTGTGCCCCTGCCCCAGCCTCTCA